TTCTTCTTTGTTTTTTGGGAAGAGGGGTTGTTGTCTAAATTTTGGAAAGAATTCTACCCAATCTAATGACTTCCACAAAAGTCTATAAGTGTGGTTTTTGGTTCTTGACAACATTTAATGTCATTAATGAGGGGTTTAATATTAAACCTAATGCTTAAGTAACCTAATTAAGTGTGTTTGCAAGTTATGAGTTAATATGATAAGACATGTAGTATGTAACAAAAATATGAGTATGATCAACTACCTTGATGAGCGAATATCTTGACTTGTAAAACTTGTTCATGTTGCATCAAAGTGATTATTGGTGAAATTATATGTTATGAGTTATGATTAACGAATTTGTGGATGGAAGTGTTGTTTAGCAATAATAGGTGATATATGTTGGTTTGGATATGAATTGTGAGAATGAGTTAAGTGTGTAATGTTTGAGTTGTGCAAGTTCATGATTTCATTGAGTTGAAATGCATATGTTCTAGTTATGCCGTTGTAGATATGTTGAACTTGTGTGATCATGGATGGGTGGGACTTCATTTAAGGCAAAAGATAGGGTGAAATTGGAATTCCAAATGGTGTGTGGGACTTCATTTAAGGCAAAAGATAGGGTGAAATTGGAATTCCAAATGGTGTGGGCTCCATTGAGTTTATGCATAATAGCTAACTGTATTATTTTTTAAAATGTGCTTAATATTTTTATTATATCCCACAGGGCATAGGTTAGGCATAATGCATAATATTACCAATTTCCTATAAAAGGCAATATGAGTCGGGCAATTATGACAACGTTGGTATTTGAGAAGGGTGAATCTATGGTTCGAAAGTGAGAGTAAGTACCTTTAGCCAAGTAACCCTTAACAATTAGAGAGTAAGGCTAACCTAATTACATGGAGTAGTCCTATGCATGTAAGTAGCCTATGAATTTAGTCAGAACATATAAGGAGATAAATAAAGCGGCTGCATTGATTAGACAAATTAACCCATAATAATGAATTGTTATTAGAATGTGAAATGTCATATGTGGGGTTGTAATATACTTGCTTTATTTGCCATAATTTAGTATGCTCTAATTAAATTACTTGATTACTGAGATTGTATATTAGAGGCTAGAACTAGAGCTTGTACTTGTAAAGACTAGTTACTCTAATGTGTAATTGAATACTTGAATTGCTGACATTAGGATCATTTTTTGTGTAAGTTTAACATTGGTCATTTGCATGTAGCCCTTAAACTTGGGCATTTTAGTTGTTGGCCTTATATGTTTTTGGGAAAGGTAAACCATTCAAGCGTATGGATTTTGATCAACATTAAACATGTATTACATGATGAAAATTACGAGTCATGTTTTTAGTAGTGAATATGATGATGTATGATAAGTCTTGTTATTAGCTAATGGCTAGATGGAGAGGGAAAACACTTGGTTGATGTTTTGTAAGAGTGATACAAATGCATAGCCCCAAGTGTTCCATGATCCTTGTCTAATATCAAATTGAGGTGAAACTAGAGCCACTAGTTAAAACATGTAATTGTGTGCATGTGGACATTTGGATTGCCTTTATTAGAGGCTTGAGCTAAAAGTTAGACATTTCAAAAGTTAGATTTTAATTGTTGTCTTATGTTGGTTACTGTCTATTGGCCACGTTGAAAGAGCTTTTTAACTGCAACAGGTGATAGAAAGAAGAGTCAGATGCAAAGGAAAGAATGCTTAGTTACAAAAAGGTCTTTATGTAGATGGCCATGGCAAATGAAATCTTAGCTATAGTGAGGTTGGAAGATTGTGAAGTTGCCCACAACACATGGTCTTATTTTGGTGAAATGACACTTTTATCCCTGTAGACTATTTCAGTGCTCATACAATTTCCTATGTTTCTACAATCTTTTTTTACCTTGATTTGCAAATGTTTCCAAGGGCCTTAATTTATAATTTTCAATTTGAATCTTCTTGAGATCCCAATTACTTCAAAGTAATTTCAAAGATCTTTTAAAGGAATAAATAATCAAGGTTGATCCAATCTTTCTTTAGTGCTTGTCTGAATTTATTAATTGACTTTAAGCATTATGAATTGTTGTTTAATGTCCTATACATTACAAGACACATATAGCACGTGGTAAGTGCTAATGTATATATGCACAATAAAAACAAACATTCTTAAAACTTATACCAACCTTTAGAGATTTCAAATGTTGAATCATGCAGTAATGCCTTTGATAGTTGTTTTTATTTTATTTTTAAATTTGTTGAATGAAGAATTCACACATGAACCAATTAGTGCCAACAAATTGGAAAGAAGACCATGAACATATATAAGGAAATTAAATGAAATTACTAATAATTTTTAATACATATGATATATGATTTAGCATCTTTAGAGCCATGTTAGGACTTGTTAAAATGGGTTGAGTGTCATTTTTTTCTCTCAATTGTGCACGAAAGGTCACTGGGAGTCTTAAACTCTACTAGAGTTTAATTTCATCCCTCAACGTAAAATATTCCCTTTCACAGCACCATGATATTAACACGCTTAATGGCTGTGTTATGTAGGTCCCACATATAAATTTTTTAATAATAATAAAATATTGCTTTTGGGCCCCACAACACTTTTTTTAATATTTCTCTTTCTCTCTCTCCTCTCTCTCGCTACAACTGATTCACACCTCCTCTTATTCATCATCTAACTCGTCTCTCTCTCCCCCCTCTCTTTTCTCCCTCTCTCTGTAACTCTAATCTTCTAACATGTTCCACTGCATGAACCTTTTCTACAGTCAACTTTGTGCTTGCAAACTCATTGACAAGCGCTTTCTCCATGATCCCACCGAGTGCTCTTGCTTGCACAATGAACTCAAATACATGTCTCTCCTCTCCCCTCACCCCAATGTTCTCCTACCTCGCCTTCGTTCTATTTAGTCATCACGTTCATGTGCTATGTTAGTTTCACTTTCACCAAGCTTCTTGAACCACCATGGCTCAATGCATGGGCCATGTCGAATAACTCCAAAAAGTGCAGCAAAGCCTCATCGCTTGCACCTGGCCATCTTCTACAAGCTTCATTCAGACAAGCAAGGTGTAGAGTTTAAACCATATCCTCTAGCATCTCTTCTTGTGGACCCAAATGAAGATGGTGTTGTTGGTGATAAGGAGGGGGAGATCATGAAAGAAAGCTTGAGTGCAACGACTTATGGAGGGCGTCAGGGGAAGGGAGGCAGAGAGGCGAGAGAGAGAAAAAGTGGGGATAATGAGGGAAAAAGCAGAAGTAGGTTGACAATGATGATGATACAACATACCATCACTATAATGAAGCTCCTAGCTTTACATTAACACTATTCCAATCAACGACATGCTTACAAGCTTAAGCCAATACACCATCACCTCCTATTCCAATCAACGACATGCTTACAAGCTTAAGCCAATACACCATCACCTCCTCCATTTTCTTTCTTATCTTTGCTTGGTTGTACGTACACACACACACACGCACACATGCACACACACACAGAGAGAGACTAAGCACGACCAATGACATTGGCTAAGAGGAGGGGTGGAGCATCATCGAGATGACTTGATTCGATAGTTATCACCACACCTCATTTGTCTTGAGTGTAGGAGTTCTTTTATCTGGCACTCCAACGAGGCTCAATGACAACATATGTTGCATATTTATTTGGAGGTAAGAGAGAGGAGAGGGAGACATAGAAAAAGTAGGAAGGAGGCAGAGGGACAAGGAGGGAGAAAATATTAAAAAAATTCATACATGGGATGCATGTAACAAAGCCGTGTCAAAGTTTTAGGAGAGAGATTTTTTTATGCTGAGGGGCATAATTGACCGTAGTTGAGTTTAGGGTCCCTAGTAACCTTTAACGTATAGTTATAAGGTAAAAATGTTACTTACTCTATTAAAATGACATTTTAGCATCAATAAAAATTGCATTTTAGAAAAAACTTGGACTATTTTGATGCTAATTGATTCTCATTTAACTATATATAAATGCCAAGTCATCAATATACTACACAGTATGATGACCTTGAAAAATAATTAAATATTAAAATTAATGATAATAGATTCTGATATTTTATAAAAAAAAATTTATCTGGAATTGTTGCAACAGAAAATTGATGTTTTAGCGAAGCCAATGCTTATTGACTACTTATGGGTACCATGTTCGAACCCTTATCAGCACCCAGAAATAATTTATTTTATTTTATTGTGGTCTAAATTAAAAGTTTCTTGAAACAAGGCTTATAAGATGAGTTTTATATGCATACCCTATGCCGGTTACACCTTATTTTTAGGAGTGTGACACACACGTTAGAGTAATTTAAGAATTAATTTATGTTCAAGTAAGAAGTGCACAAGCATGATTCGATGTAAAGACTAATCTCTATTTTTTTTTCAAATTTTACTTTTTGAAATTTGAAGAACCAATTTCATTAAGGACACAAAATTGAAGGAAAAAAATTTAGAATGCTTAATTAGAAGTACATTTCGTGAAAAAAAAATTCATGTTTTATAATTAACAATTATTCTGACTCAACCTATTATATTACTTTTGTTATAAAACATGGAATTGATATTTTTCCCGAAAAGGCATTTCTAAATAAGCATTCTCAACCTTGTTTTACTTCCATTTTGTGCTCTTAGCGAAATTTGTTCAACAAATTTAATAAAATAAAATTTGAAATAAATAAAGAGACCATTAAAGAAGAAACGGCTTCCAACAAAATATGAGAAATAGTGAAATTGCTAATTTATCTATTTTTTAATTTTCATTTTTATTTCGTGAAATTTGATTAACAAAAGCAAGAGGAGAAAATTATTGCATTGCATATATATATATCTATATAAGATCTTATCATTTAGTTAAAAATGGTTAAAATTGTCTATTTTAATTTCCAATAAATGGTGATAAAAACATTTCTAACCTTTTTTAAGATTTTATAAACTTCAATCGGTTTTTTTATCGAGCTCTTAAATGTAACTTCTTAATATAAGAAAATACAACCACTTTACCTCAAATTGGCGTGCAATTCAACCATTTGGAAGCAAAGAAAGTATATATGGGAAATACGACTGAATCTTATTCCCATAAATATTAAGAAATCACCACACACAAACTGCCAAAATAAAAAAAAATAGAAAAAAAGAAATTTAGTATTATACACAATTATGAGATAATGAAATAAGTGATATCTCTATCTTTGTTTTGTGAAATTTAATGAACAAATGCCATCAGAGGTTTTTCATAGATATTTTGTCATCGCGTTTCTGCGTGCCGTGTTTAACGCTTACAAAGAGATTGCAATATTCATGAGTTGGTACGACAGTCTATGCAATAATTTTTAGGATTTTAATTAATGATTCCATTCATTAATTTTGAAAAATAAGTTGAAGTGTCTGATTCCTTGTACTTTTTTAACTTTCGGATTGACATTGATTTCTTTTTCTTCATGCTTTTTTGATTAACTATTACTATTTTGAATTAAAATGGATAAATGGTATAATTCATTGCCACATAGAAAAGCTCAACATTTCTAATTAAATAAAATCCAAACTGTCGTGTTTATAAGACTTTTAAATTATCATGCCCGAGAGAAGTTGTAGGAGGCAATAGCACCTTGGATCTTACAACATGATTATTTTAGTGAATTATCTGTCATGTTCAATAATTTAATGTTGGAAAAATTGAATTTTTTCAATTAAATATTTAAAAAAGAAACTTGGCTCATTTTGTTAGATTTTTACTATTAATCATCTTCTCATATAAATGTATTATCTTTCTCAGTTGGAAAAGAAAATTTAAATATAACACCATCTGATTTTTCTCAATAAAGTCATTTTTGTGATTTCAATCAATATATCATTAAAAAATATTTTTATAAAAATTAATAAATTATCAATTTACAAGCCATAACAAAAATTTAATTTGTAAATTGTGAGAAAGATTTACAGATCTACCTAATGTAAAGAATATATTTGAAACTCATAAATTATAAATTTAAAAAATATTATCATTATTGTATATTTATAAAAAGATATATTATAATTAAAAAATAAAAAACTTATTTTTTAAAAAATTATTGTAACCAATGGCTCAACCCATTTTAACCCACTAATTTTACGGTGGGCTAGTCCAACCCGTTTTACAAAACAAGCTAATTTTTTCAACCCTAATCAAATTTGGTGAGTTAAATGGGCTAACTGGTTAACTCAGTCCATTTTCCCAACTCTATTTTTTACACTATAAGTCTAATTTCTTCAAAACCTAAAGCATGGCTAAAATTAAATTAAAAAATCATATTAACAATTACCTTTCATATATTAACTATTAGAAATCCTATAAATTAAGAAAAATGAGATAATTACATATAAGTCTCATATAAGAGAACTAATTGCTTATTAGTTTCAAATCTATAAATTTTACTTATAAATGGACTGAAGAAATAAGTGATTGCCTTACTTGAGACCTAATTGTAATTCTCTGAAAAAATTTAAACGCCAAGTCAAAAGCCACTAATTAGATGTCTTGATCAGGTTACTCAAACTATTCAAGTGGGGCAAGTCACCAAAGGACCCATTTGTTTAAAATTAAAAAATAAAAAATTTTTAAAAAAGAAATTTATTTTGTGAGATTTTATAAAAAGCAAACATAGTTTTATGTTTGAGTACAATAATAAAAAACTAATTATTAGTCAGTTATTTTTAAATTTTATGACATCTTCAATGATTTTTATTTTATAATAATAATTTATTATCATATTTTAAAATTTTATGATATCTTTTTGTATCCCGCCCATTTCAAACATTCATTTTCAAAAAATACTTTCAATATCTTCTTAAAATAATCACAAATATGCTTTTTTCATATTCTAATTATTTTTAAAAGTTGAAACAAACATAATAAAAACTCACAAAATAAATTAATATATAAAATAAGTACTTTTTTATGAAATAAGTTAAAACAAACTAGCCTTAAAATAATTATATGAGACCCTAAAATTACGAGGAACAAAAAAAAAAAAAGGAAACCATAAATCAAGTAAGAAATATCAAAATGAAACAACACAACTCTCCGATCAGTTTTACAAGCCCTCCAAAATTAATTATAACGTATTAAATTTAAAATTTTTAACTTTTTTATTTCTTATATTAAAACTTATTTTTAGCGGGATGATAGTTATAATATTATCTTTATTTAAAATTTTGTATCAATTAAAATAACACACACTTTATTAAAAAATAAAAATAGAAAATAAAATTATATTAAATCAAGGCGAGCATTGATCGCTTCCCATCAATTCAACAGCCCCACAAAAACTCAACATTACTCATCATTAATATTTATTACTTACCTATCATCACCTTTCAACGCCCAGTGCAAGTATTATATTCATCTTTTTCAAGCTTTCATCAAATTCTTCACAGGTCATCATCAGCTTATTCACATATTCTCTGCACAAATCCAACAATACTTTCATCAACATATATATATATATATATATATATACTCTCTCATCAACTCAACCTATTTCTCCTATATAGTTCTTTGTCATCCATTTTTTCACATGAGAGAGAGAGAGAGAGAGTTACCTGGGCAGGTTTGAGGGTACGAAATGAAGGAGAGAGAACCGGAGAAGGAAGAAAGAGTAAGCTTGAGTCTCCTTTTTCTATTTTTCTGTTGGAAGCATTTTAAAAAAATTATGAAATAAAAAATTTAGAACAAATATAAAGGAAGAATCAACTTACATGTAGGAAATAAAGTTTATTGACATGTGTGACTTTATTTAAAAGTATCTTGTAATTTAAGGTGAAGAAAATATTTTTTTTGGGGAAAAATCACAATTGAGGAATTTAAAAAAAAAGATCTGGGGGAGTTTAGTCTTTTTGCTACTTAATTTAATTGCACTTAGATCCCTTTGTTTTGCAAAGAGATTTCAAAATCAACTGGTTGTTTTTCATAATAAAAACTCTTAAGAAGTCTTTGAATGCGTTTTTCCCTGTTTTTAACAATATTGATATTTTTTTTCTTGACAAATGAAAAAATAGAAGAGAGAAATGTTGATTTGAAAGTACTAAAGGTTCTGTTATTAGTAAAATGATCTATTATCAATGAATTTGAATAAACTGATCTTTCACAAAAGATAATCTTCTTAATTACTAAATTTGCTCCCAACTAAAGAGGAGTAGATAGACGTGAAGGAGGTGTTTGCATTCCGTGCTAATCAACATGATGAACACGGAGAGCTTATTCTGATATGAGCTACTTACTTCATCTAAAAATGATCCCTGCTGTTATTTTAAATTAATTTTTTAAATTTTTTTAACATCTTATTGTTGAAAGCTATTAGAGACAAGAAAGATAAATTAGAGAATGATTGAAAAATATTATATTAATTACTATTATGATGAGTACAATATATACAAGGAGGAAAAGATAACCTAATAAAGACTATTAACCTAATAAAGACTATTAATAGTAAATTTATATATAAAAAATAAATTAATATTATTCTTTGAAGTTCATTTTTTTTAATGAAATTAAGATTACAAATAGTATTTAATTGATTTTATTAGTACTCACAATTTTACAATAAAAAATTCTAATAAAATGAATAATTTTTACAAGCAACAGTCATCATAAAATGACGAAAATTGAAAGGACATATAATTATTCATCATTGAATATTTTATTTTATTTATAAAAAAAGAGACCGGTCTTGACCTTGACCCGATCTCCAACCTGATCTAGAGTCTGAGTTTGCATGGGACAGCGATTGAGAAGCACTTTGATTGCATTTATAACAAAGGCAAAAGATGTGGAGATTACTTCAAATATATATATATATATATATAGTTGAAGCATATCATATCAATGTGATCCGAGCCAACTTGATTTTACTCGAAATTTGCTGGCATCTCAAAAGACAAATCATTGAAAAGAAAAGGAGAAAATTCAAAATGATACACAAATATGAGATAATGAAATGAGTGATTTCTCTATTTGTGTATATCTCGTAAAATTTAATGAACAGATACCATTTAATGTACAAAATGGAAGAAAAAAAAAATTAAGAATGCTAATTATTTAAGGAGTATAATTTGTCATAAATGAGTAGCAGAGAGTACAATATAGGTTTGATATAAAGAAAGAAGATGACTTTACCTCAGAAGAGCAGAAAATTCAACTGTTTAGAAGCAAAGAAAAGCCAATCTTCCATTGACATAAATAGCAAGAAATGACAGAGAAACTTGGGCACCTAACAAAAAAGCGAAATTACTTAGCTTGTTTATTTTCAAATTCTCCAACACATTGAGCTCATCACTTAGCTTAAGAATAAGAAGACTGAATTGTTACCTCAAGTGTTTGGAAGCAAAGAAACTGGAGAACGGAAGTATGAGATCTGGAATATGAGATCGATGCACTTAACAAATAGAGAGAGTTGTGTGTGCGCGAGAGAGAGAGACCTGAGAGAAAAAGAAATGAAGCTCAAGCCCAATGTTGATCTAATTGATTTGAATCCCAGCCCAAACCCAAGCCTAATATCTTAAGATATTATCTTACATATTTTTTTAATAAAAAAACAATTTTTTTCATTATTGTTTGTGATTGAACAGTAAATACCAGGTGTGTCAGAGACGCTAAATCTCAATAGATAAAGAAAAAGGTTCCCAGTTCTCTTACCACAGCTCACTCGGATGTAAAAAGATAAAAAGTTTTGGTAGAACAATTATATAATTTTATTGAAGTGTAAAAAATTACAGACTAAAAACTAAGAACTGAAAAGGGCTAATGAATGTAAAAATATGCGAGTTTTGATTGAGTGTTAACTAGCTTTTTCTATTTTTCTTCTTCCTATTTATAGTGTCAAATAGCAGAAGCCTTTCTTTTAAGACTTAGCATGTTCTACCGAAGAATCAGAAATCCCGTAAAACTTTTCGTGTCAACGGTTTGATATTTGAAGCTGATAAAATTTCAGCATGTTTATTTGTTGTGAATTTTATTGAGCTTGAGCCGGCCTCTTTTGTTTATATTAGGCTTGACGCTTCAATTACTTAGCCCAACTAACTTCGTAATCTATCTGAGAAACATTTTATATTTAGCCCAAATAATTACTAAAAACTAATGTAGTGTATCATTAAAAAGTGGCCCAGTCAAACAACAAAGCAGGAAACTAAGGAGTGACTCTGAAAAGATTGTGCCAAAGCCAACAAACTCGAACCAGGAGACAACAAATCCAACAACACAAAACATACAGTCCAACACTTCCAAATAAACAAAGAACCCAACACTAGAAATATTATCTTATCAACATCCAAGCTTTATCTACCTCCTCGCACAATTCCTACACCATTTTCTTTTTAACTAATTGATCATTTGCGAAGAACATACATTTAAAAATTTCTCTTTGAATATGTTCCGTCAAAATATTTAAGATCAAGTTGAACAGATAAGGACTCAGAGATGATCCCTGATGTAGTCTAATCTTTATAAGAAAATCCTTTGTTTGACCACTAGGCGTTCTTATACTAGTTTTTACCCCCTCATACATATCTTGTATGGCTTTAATATAAGCAATCCGTACTCCCTTTTTTTCTAACGCTTTCCAAAGCACTTCTCTTGGTATACGGTCATAAGTTTTTTCCAAATCAATAAAAACCATGTGTAAATCTTTATTTTTACAATGATACTTTTTCATTAATCCCCTTAGTAAATAAATCACCTTTGTAGTTCTTATAGTAGAGACAAGAGAAGAGGTTAATTGCAAACTTGAGTTATGGAGGAGGACATTGGAGTCGAAAGGTTTCCGTCTAAGTAGGAGTAAGACGGAATATTTATATTATAAATTTAGTAAGACTATTCGACAATAATTTGAAAGTAAAATTGAAAGATCAAGTTATATCTCAAGTGGAAAAGTTTAGATATTTGGGAGCCATTATTCAAAATGATGGCGAAATCAGTGAAGATATTTCACATAGGATTCAAGTTGGGTGGTTTAATTGAAGAAAATCTAAAAAAATTATTTGCGACCGTAAAGTGCCTAATATACTTAAAAAAAGTTTTATCGCACTACTATCAGACCGGCAATGTTATATAGTAGTGAATGCTGGGCTCTAACGGGACAGAAAGAACATAAAGTTGGAGTAGCAGAGATGAAAATGTTATGATGGATATACGGACATACACGTAAAGATAAAATTTGAAATGAGCACGTACGCGAAAAAGTGAGGGTAGCATCTATTGAGGAAAAAATGATAGAAAATCGGTTGAGATGGTTTGGGCATGTACAAAGAAGACCAAGGGAGGCACTAGTGAGAAGAATGGAACATATAACTTTGAGTCCGATTAAGAGGGGTAGAGGAAAGACTAAAAGAACACTCTTGGAAATTGTTGAACGCGATCTCTTAATAATATTCCTAAAAGCTTAATAAATGATAGAACACAATGGCATCTTGCAATCCATGTAGCCGACCCCATCTAGTGGGATAAAGGCTTGTTGTTGTTATTTGTTGTTGAGGTTTTTACGAAAATAAAATCTTGAAATAAATTTTGGCAACATGTTCTTTGATTGTTTGATTACTAAATAAAATTTATACAATTGAGATCTTTTATGACATGAACACTTTCCTATTTATATTATAGGACTTCTTTTAAAATAATTTATTAGTTCCTAATACAAATAATATAAAAATTATTAATTAATATTTTTTAATTTTATTCCTCTCCCTTTAATAAGAATAATATTTAGATTTTTTTTAAAATTTTAAGACAAATTTACCTTCTTTGAGTCAGGTGAAATAATTTAAAATGATTTGCATATAATATAGAGGGAGCAGATCTTAACATTAAATTAGCAAGCAAGGAGAAAAAATATAAAATTGAAAAGCAGTTATGAATGAATTTTGTCTTAGGTAGGAAAGAAGAAGAAGAAGCAAGGTGGAAGATTACCTGAAACGGTGTGAAAGAGGAGTTTTTGGAACTTGAAAGGAAAGAAAATGGAGATCTGATATATATAAGATTCATGAGCTTAATAAAAATCATAAGTAACAGAGACAGTGCGTGTGTGTGCGTGCGGGCGTGTGTGAGTGAGTACGGAGAGAAAGAGAGCAGCAACAGAGACGAAGAGAGGCTAACCTGCAAGAGTAGGATGCTTAGCTTGATCAGAAGAAGCAGACCAGACAATTTGAGTGAGAGGCACCGAGTTCAGAAGAAGCTGTGTAAGATTACAATCCAACACAATGATGAAGATGATAAGAAGGAAAAATGAGAGAGGCATAATAATTGAAGAGGGACTGTAAAAAAGGAAAAGCTATCTCATACTCATAATTCAGCTTGTTCCCTCGCATCACTCCGACAAGGCTATTGTGTTTTCGCGTATTTAGGCTACACTTTTTGACCTTTTTAGTGTGCGTTTGAATTTTTGATTCAATCGACATTAAAAAATTAAAATTAAAAAAAATTAATAATCATAATGTAATTTATGCTTTGATATTTTTAAGAAGTCATTTAAAAAAATAAAATTTATTTATATAAAAATATATAATAATAAAAATGAATATAATTTTTATAAGATATTTTTAAGAAAAATATTAAATTTAAAATTACATTTTCTTGAAAAAATATATTACAAATATAAAGTATATTAATAAGTAAAAACGGTTAATGTTTAAAAAATTAGAATTAAATGATAATATTCAATTATCAAAATTTAAAATAAATCTATAAATTTTAAACTATAATATGATATATAATTTTTTAGCTAATAAAATATTAAACTTAGAAAATAAAAAAATATGCCAACATTATAAAATTATATTGTTATATAATGATTTTATATCATGATATTTTTTTTATGATTTCTCTTTATGTGTTCTAGATATTTTACATACTTTCTTATCTTCTTAAATTTCAGGTATATTCTAGCTATTACAAATTTTAATATGAAATTTGAAGATATTTTATATTTTAAATTCTAAATTTCATAGAAGACAGAATTATTAGTTTATCAAAATCGGTACATATTTTATTGAGAGAATGATAACAAGGTTGCAAAATATTGAATTAATATCAGTTAGATTTTAGATAAAAAATTTTACAAAATAAATTTTAAATATCAATTCAAATAGTTATTAATATTTTCAACTAATTTTTTTAAAAATTTATTGAGGATTTGATTGTCATTAATTAAATATTTTGGGATCTAACTTATTCTTTTTATTTTATTTGTTGGATCAATATATTTATATACTTTAATTATAATTACCTCATAATATTATAAGTTGGAATATAATATATAAAAGGAAGAAAAGGAACTGGTTAAGCGCAGTATTTCACATAGATTGATCACAGACACACACACACAGACATGGAGGGGGGGGGGGACGTCGAAGTTTGAACACTACAAATACAATTAACCTAACCTCAAAAGTCAAAAGCCATAGTTTTCAGTTTCCATTGTGGTTTTTGAGCAAAAACTTTTTTAAAACTTTCATTACCTAAGATCACTAACTTTCAAATAGACATTTTAAGATTCAAACTAAGGTTTGGATGATCCTATAACCTCAATTAAAATTTTGTCCAAAGATAAATGGTTTATCAAAAGCGACCATTATAGTGGCCAGAGAGGTATAAAATAGTACACATGCATATATCAATGAACTGTAATACTTCAAGTCGGCCATCAAATTTTACGTTGTTTATTTAACTTAATTCTTCAAAAAATTAATAATTTGCCCAGGACTCTCGCTGCATTAACAATGATACAAGTGCAGAAGTACGCATAAAACAAAACTCGATCAAAAAGTGTTATTGCTCCACCAATCATTTTCAAGATTACAACACGGTTGATAAATATGCCTTGGAGAAGGAAGCTTTTAAAAGAGAAAATAACAGAAAAATCATTTTCAAGATTACAACACGGTTGACAGATATACCACTTTATCATGGGTTATTACTCTCTTCTTAAAAGATTAATTCATTAGGATGTATAGCGCGTCCACTTATATAACTAGAATCCTTCTCAAATTTCTCTGATGTGAAACTTGACATTAGTCTCTCTTCCATTTATTCCATCAAGCCAAATAATGAAGGCAAAATTGTATTACCAAAAATTATTATAACACTCTTGCATTTGGAAATAAAACAAGTTTTTAAAAAAAAACACCCTATAAATGTAAGTGTGTGTATTTGGGGAGGGGGGGGAGAATCTTGGAGGTCAAATTGTGATGTTTTGTACCATTCCTTTCAAATCTGTAAAGTCATGTGTTTAGGGGTTAAATGTTAAAAAAATATAAGACAACTGTCTTTGAAGATATAGTATTGTCTTTTTTTTTAAACTGTCTTTATAATAAATCATTTATATTTATTTAGGGTAAGTTATTCTATTTAATAGAGATAAATATAAAAAAACAAGATTAATTTAAAGATAAATAATTATTTTTATTAGAATTGAAATTCAATTAAAAATATTTTATATTTTTAAGGAGAGGGAGTATTTCGTAAAACATATGGAGGGTTGGTTAACTCACTTGCATTTAGTTAATATATTTAGAAATAATCATATTTATTTATTTTTAATATTTTTAAGTTCAATTTTTTAAGGATCAATAGTAGATTTGCAATCACCTTCAATCAAAGGTCAACTGATCCAGTGGCGCCTTAAGCCACCCCTGAATGAGAGGGGTGGCAGCTTGGAATCCGAGTGGAGTGCGTGAGTGGACAAGCTTTCCTTTAGAAAAATATTATTCGTTCATACTTTTTTTGACCAGAATTCACATTAATTACTCGGAGGAAAGCAGTTGATAGATTAATATAAATAGTAAGTTTACACAACTAGCCCCTTGTAGTGTAATTAGGGGCGAGCAAAATCGAAATTGAAAATTAAATAAAATTTTATTTATTTGATTTGGTTTATTTAATTTTTCAGTTTAATTTAGTTTTTTTATTTTAAATATTTTAGTTGATCGGTTCGATTCGGTTAGTAAAATTTAAAATTGAATAGACCGAACCGACCGAATTATATATAATTTATGAATTTATAAATTATATTTAATTTATAAATTATTTTATTTCATTTTTATTTTTTATTTTAATAAAGAATAAAAAATAATAACATCACTTGAAACCCTATTTCAATCAGTCACTCTTATCAGTAGTTGTTGTGACTAGATTATGTGGCCATTATTTAATCATCGGTGTTTATTTGTGGTTGTTTATTTGATTATCAATGTCTTTATAATATTTGAACTTTATATCATATGGATGTAATTAGAATGGGCTCATATTAAAAAAAATGAATAGAAAAAAAAGTTTAATTTTGTAGTGTTGTTTGTTTTAATATTTAAAAAATAGGCTCAATTTTAATAACTCAATATAAAACCAAAAAGTTAAATTAACCGATTGAACTAAATTATTAAATTTTAATTTAATCCTTATTCAATTAGATTAATTTGTTCGGTTCGATTTAATTTTTATTTTTAATGTTATTCAATTGATTGATTTTATATATTTTGAGATTTAACTGAAGCGAACTAATCATACTCACCCCTAAATGCAATCAATTGAAAGTAAAAATATCAACTCACTTAATTTGACCGAAAAACACTTGTATAGCTAGCATGGCACGTGGTGGGGACCACCAAAAGAAGGGCCTGATATTTAAAAAAGGTTAAGAATAATGAGCACTTTATCAAAAAGAAAAAGAGTAATGATATTGATAATGGAAATATGTATATTTCATTTGTCTTCCTCGGAGACACGGCATCTTGACTTATTGGAGCCTACGACACTGGGGCCCTGCAGTAGGAAGGAACGCATGACAGTAAAAAACTAATAAATATTCACTCACAAGTCTCTAGTGAAAGGGTATCTTATTTAATCATGAAAATTAAAATGATGATAACCAGATTTTTGACTAATAATAGTAAGATATATTATATAATAATACAAAAATTATAAGTTATTTTTAACCAACTTCCGCATCTCAAAAACAATTAAATTATTAAAAATTATATATTTTTTAATATTTATCTTTATTTAATAAGATAATTTAATCGCAAATAAATATAAAAACTTTTTATTTAAATATTCATTATGAATATTTTGAAAAAAATCCATGAATTGTCCATAGTAAATATACTAAAATGAAAAAAGAATAATTTTTTTATCATATTTATAAAGTATGTTATTGTCTTTTTTTGATAAGTTTTTTTTTATCTATCATCAAATATTGGTAAAAAAATATGTTATTAAAGTACTCCATTCATCCCAATTAAAAAAATGCTTTTTAAAAAGATTCAGTGTATTATAAGTCTTCATTTTCTCTCAAATAATCTCTATCATTAATTTAAAATTATTTTTTAAAATTTTTATATTATATTTATCAAAATAAAAGTTTTAAAAAATATAATATTAAATATGGATCATTCAGGATATATTTAAATAATTAATTAATTAAAATAATAAAATTTTAAATTGAAAATTTTACATTATAGTTATATTGTTCAAAATATATTTAAATAGTTAATTTATAAAAATTATTAAAAATTAATATTACATTTGGTTACCAAATGAAATCTGTATTAACCATTGGTGATAAATAGATTTATTAAAATTTTTTATATTTTTAATGTATTTTTATTTTAATAAATAAAAAATATAAATTTAGATTGTCTAAATCTTATACGCCTTAAGACATTTTTTGAGAGGTTAAATGTTTAAAAAATGTAAGGTATTTTAAATTTTTAAGATATAATTATTATTTTTTTAAAAAAGTATCCCTGTTGAATAGGTTACTTTATTTTTTTTAAATAAAACACTTTATTAAATAAAAATAAATATAAAAAATATGGTTAATTTAAAAATAAGTAACTACTTTATTGAAGAGTGACATTCGGTTAAAAATATCTTATAACTATAACTTCACATATTCAATAATTAAATTAATCATATATTACAAGTTTAATACAAATTATATATAATTATCTCGTCGGCAATTTATAATGATCATTTCAATATTTTATAAGTATAACTTCAAATATCAAATAGTTATACTGTCACACATTACTAACAAAGTTTTACATTAATTATTTACAACTCTTACATCAATAATTTATAATTGTAACTTTTATATTTTATAAGTGTAACTTAAATATTTTTTATAAGGATAATATTGTCTTTGTATTTTATTTTTAAATTATACTCATGTCATAAAAAATTTAATTGTGGTTTTTAAATTGCTTCACATGATTGATATGTAATTTCTCCTATTTTTTATGCGCCAAATGTGCCTGACTCTCACACGTTCGCTCGCTTCAGCCTCTCAACCTCACGAAGGAATCATGATCTTACAAGCGCTGATTATCATGGACAAAGTGATCATAATATCTTCTGGCCATTGTGTGTGCGCGTGTGTAACTGAATTCAAAAATGACATTAGTAAAGAACATAACAATTAATAATAATGTTGAAAAATCATAACAATATGAAGATGATAGAAGCGGCCAAGCCTAATAATATGAAATTAAGAGTAGAGTGCTTGATAATGCTGGAAGCTCCATCTTCATCGTCTTGGCTTCCAAGATAGCTCAAAGTAGATTCCTCTGATGAAGGGCTTCGCGCTGATCCTTCTGCTGGTTCATCACCTGCAAATTAATGGCAGTAAAAGCTAATTAAGAGCTTAAATTGGTTCTCATGTCTTCAAAAATATTTTCTTTAAAATCAATACTATAGTAAATAAGTTATTTTGTTGAATAATGTATGATAATAAACATTTAATATTTTGACAAGTATTTTTTTATAATAATGTCACAATTTATAAGTACAAATTCAAAGACATAACTAATCTTAAAAGACTTGCATGTTGAATATTGGAACCTTTTAAACTTATAAGCTTTATTGAAAAAATATAATTTTAAATCCCTACACTTTACTTAAGTTTCTACATTTATTTTTTAATATTATAGGTCCCTGAACATTTATTTTTTATGGTTTAGGTTTCCCTACAGGTAGTGTTATAGGGATCTAAAATATTAAAAAGTAAAAGTATGGAAACCTAAAATATAAAAAAAATATAGAAATTTAAAATAAAATTTGATTCAACTGAATTCAACAGGTTCCTAAAAAACACCCTATATATGTGTGTGTATGTATACATGCATGTATGCATGGTTGGATGGAAGCAATCTTGGAGGTCATGCTGTGATGTTTTATGCTCCCTCCATTTAAAAATATAAAATATTTTTTGAGAAGTTAAATATTAAAAAATGTAAGACATTTTTAATCTTTTGAGATATAATCATTTTCTTTTTTAAAAAGTATTTATTGTGAGGAGTTTAATAGGGATAAATATAAAAAGATAGGATTAGTTAAAAATTATATAGCTACTTTATTAACGAGTGAGATTCTGTTAAAAATATTTTATATTTTTTAACGGAAGAAGTATTTTGTAAAATATTTGGAGGGCTCGTTAACTCACCTGTATTTAGTTAATATATTTAGAAACAATCATATTTATTTATTTATATTATTTTTAAATTCAATTTTTCAAAGAAGAATAGTTGCAGTCACTTTCTTCTCATAATTCTCTGACTAATTATTCGTTATACTTTTTTGACCATAATTCACATTAATTCCTTCTTCTTTTCTTTTCTTTTTTTTTTTGCCAAAGAATTCACATTAATTACTTGGAGGAGAGCAGTTGATGGATTTACATAAACAGTAAATTTAGATAACTAGTCCCTCGTGAGCGTTATCAATTGAGAAGTGACAATAGCAAGTCACTTGGATTAGAGCCAAAAAACAAAAAACTTGTATAGCTAGCACGGCACGTGGTGGGGACCACCAAAAGAAGGGCATGATATTGAAAAAAGGTTAAGAATAATGGGCACTTTATCAAAAAGAAAAAGGGTAATGATATCAATAATGGAAATATGTATATTTCATTTGTCTTACTCGAAGACATGGCATCTTGAATTATTAGAGACGACGACACTGGGACTCCCGCAGCTGAAAAGAACGCATAACAGTAAAAAATTAATAAATATTTATCTTATTTAATCATCAAAATTAAAATGATGATAGCCAGATTTTTGACTAATAATAGTAAGTGATATTATATAATAATACAAAAATCATGAGTTATTTTTAACTAACTTCCAGTTCTAAAAAAACAATGAACATCATGAAGAATTTCTCAAGAATTATGCACTTTTTCTATATTTATTTTTATGTAATAAAATAATTTCATCACGAATAAGTATAAACATATTTATTTAAATATTTATTAAATATATTTTTTAAAAAAACTATGAATTATTCTTAAAAATTACTATCTTATATTTTTAAATATGATACTTGTTTTTTATAAAATAGAAAGAGAATAGTTTTTCTTATCATATTTATAAAACATGCCAATGATTTTTTTTTATATATTTTTCTTTTTATGCTTAGTTAAATGTAAGTGAAAAAAATACCTTGTTGAAAGAGGAATAAAACTAATGTAATACATGTAAATTTAGATTTTTTTCTTTTAAAAAATAAATTATTTATCTATTGTATAAAAATCTGAATCAAATCGAGCAGGGATGATAACAAGGAGAACAAAACTCTACCCGCAAATTTCCAACACACTTGGATATAGGCTAAGCCACTATCTTATTTTGAAACTATTTCAACGACACTCTCACTCCAATTAAAGATAAAAAAGCCATTGTTATCCAAAAAAAAAAAGATAAAACATGTATTCTTCATCTTCCTTGTAATTAACTTCGATATGAAATTCAATTTTCAGATCGAATTTTGCTAATACGTACGTGAAATTAAAAGGAGAGAGCGACCCTTTTAAAGTTTTAATTATGGAAAATTGTATTTTACATATAGGGACATGTAAAATTAATTTTGTCTTTTTTGAATTATTCAACCATTCCCCACAATTCCCAGACATTAGTGGGTTCTTGTCCACTTATTCATTATACGTACATAAAAAAGAGAGCACGTTTGATGTTCCTATAATCATATAATCACATCTTTCTCTTCTCAAACATGTTTTTGTTTTATATTTTCACTCAAAATATCATCAATATATAATAAAATTTATAATAAGCTGCACCTTTTTTTAAAAAAAAACATGTGAGTCATTATCCAAATAATGTATAAAAAATAATTCAAGTCTTATAACGACCTCAAAAAATAAACTGCGAGCTCATTTTTATATTTATGAATATTGAGACTTTTAATAAATTTCATCTTTATGTGTATTATATTGATAAAAAACACAATATATCTTTTTTGGAAAAAACACTATCAATATAAAATTGCAAATAGCATCACATTATTGAAGACGGTGCAATATTCTGCACACTCATAAACGTAATTAAGCTTTATATATATATATATATATATATATAGGAAAACCACACCGTGATTATTAATGGATCTGCAGATGTAAAGAATGAACTATAATTTCTTAGATTCTTTTCAGTTCAGTCCCTAAATTCAAACATTATGATACCCCAAAAAACCAGTCCTGTTGAAAACTAGATTTGATTCCCAAAATCTCATATTATATTACATGCTAGCAGGATTCTCAGAAGCAACTAACAGATCGAACAAATAAAAAATGAAAACTCGAGAGACGATAGATGATTATTGGAGAAGTAAGTGTACCGTACGTACCTGAGCAGGAAGTAACATTAGGAGCAGAAGAAGAAGACAGTCCACAAGCAGAAGGAAGGTTGAGAGCTTTCTTAACATCAATGGCGAAACCTGAAGCTCGATGGCAATGATTAAATTCTTTTTTTAATTATTTTTTAGTCAACTAAGGGTTAAAATTAACGTTATTAATAGTAATAATTAAATTGTATCATTTTAAAAAAATTTAAAAATAATTAAATAAAAAATAAACTTAAAACTTCAAACCCTCCTAAACCTCTAATTTAGCAACAAGTCTACTGTTTTACCTATATAAAAATAATGGACAGGACCTTGTAATTAACAAGAAGGGTCACACAACCACGTATTTAAACATGTGGGAGGAATTCCAGTTAAAATATTTAAGGTCCCACGTAATCTTATAGTTGATGGTGTAATATTTAGGAAAAATTAATCATGTAAAGTAAACTTATTTATAAATAAATTTTATAAAATTTACACTCAAATGTTAACGGACTTGATCATAATTTTTAAATTTTGTAATATTTATTTATATACAAGCCTGCTCAACATAACTTATATGTAATTTTTGCTACTTTTTATGTACCAAATGTGCCTGAATCTCACATGTTAGCTCATTTCAGTCTGTCAATCTCATAAAGTTATCTTGATCTTACAAGTGCTAATCACCATGGATGAAGTGATCATATCTTTTAGCAAGATTGCTAAATTCATGAATTTAGATAAACTTATAATAGTAATGTAAACTCATCATAGATTTAGATTGTAAACTTATAAGAGTTTATTTTTATTAATAAATAATTATTAAAATATGATCGTAATTTAATTTAAATGTATTAAAAATATAAATCATTGAAATTAAACACATCTATACATTGATAAATTATCATATACAAGACATAATAATTTTAAAATAGGAAAAACTTATTTTTTATATTTCTGTTTTCTCTTTTATTAATATTAGTTTTTGCATTTCAAGTTTTTTATTTTCTTCATACTTAACTCGCTCAATTAAAAAAAATTGATGAGCTTAACAAGTTTAACCAAACTTGCATTTAGTTCGAGTTTATAAATTAATTGATACAATTTTTGTAAGTTAGAAACATAAAAATGATAAACTCACTAGTTTAATCGAGTTTATATCTAATTTGAGTTTATGAATAAGTTGACACAATTTTATAAATTAAAAACATAAAAATATTAAATTCATAAAGTTAACTTGAGAGTTTAACAACTATATCTTTTAGCCATTGATTGTCAAGGGGCGCCATACATCTATACATTATACTAGTGAGTTCAAAAATGACATTAATAAAGAACATAATAATTAATAATAATGCTGAAAAATCATACTAATATGAAGACGATAGATGTGGCCAAGCCTAATAATATGAAATTGAGAGTGAAGTCCTTGATAATGGTGGAAGCTCCATCTTCATCATCTTGGCTTCCAAGATAGCTCAAAGCAGATTCCTCTGATGAAGGGCTTCGTGCTGATCCTTCTGCTGGTACATCACCTGCAAATTAATGGCAGTAAAAGCTAAGAGCTTAAATTGATTCTCATGTCTTCAAAAATATTTTCTTTAAACTCAATATTATAATAAATAAATTGTTTTGTCGAATAATATATGATAATAAGCACTTAACATTTCAAAAATTATTTTTTTGGTAATAATATTACAAGTATAAATTCAAAGACATGACTCATCCTGAAAAACTTGCTGGTTGTGTAAGAGGACATCTAATTTTATAAACATCACTTTTATGTGACTTTTCCATGTGAGACCTGTAATAGTTGATTCATCTTCTCGACAGCTGAGCTGAGGCTCTTACTTTGTAAAATATCTGGAGGGTTCGTTAACTGACATGTATTTAATTAATATATTTAGAAATAATCATATTTATTTATTTTTAATATTCTTAAATTCAATTTTTCAAAGAAGAATACTAGCTACCTTTAGTCAAAAACCAAAGAAGTCACTTTCTTCTCACAATTCTCGGCACTAATTATTCGTTATGCTTTTTTGACCAGAATTCACATTAATTACTTTTTTTTTTTACCAGTGAATTCACATTAATTACTTGGAACAGCGCAGTTGATAGATTTACGTAAATAGTAAATACACATAACTGAGCGTAATCAATTGAAAAGTGAAAATAGCAAGTCACTTGGATTTGAGCGGAAAAACAAAAAACTTGTATAGCTAGCATGGCACGTGGTGGGGACCAAAAAAAAAAAAGGCATGATATTGAAGAGGGTTAAGAATAATGAGCACTTTATCAAAAAAGAAAAGGAGTAATTATATCGATAATAGAGATATGTATATTTCATTTGTCTTACTCGGAGACGTGGCATCTTGACTTATTGGAGCCAACGACACTGGGACTCCCGCAGCTGAAAAGAACACATAACAATAAAAAATTAAGAAATATTTATCTTATTCAATCATCAAAATTAAAATGATGATAGCCAGATTTTTGACTAATAATAGGAAGTGATATTAAATATTGATACAAAAATTATGAGTTATTTTTAACTAACTACCACCTCTAAAAAAATAATGAACATCATCAAGAATTTCTGAAGAATTATGTACTTTTTCTATATTTATTTTTATATAATAAAATAATTTAATCACGAATAAGTATAAACATACTTATTTATTTAAATATTCATTAAATATTTTTTTTAAAAATCCTATGAATTATTCTTAAAAAATACTAAAATGTTCTATATTTTTAAATATGATACTTGTTTTTTTATAAAATAGAAAGAGGACACTCTCTTTGTTAAAAAATATAAGGAATTTTTAACTCAATCTCACCTCTAATAAAGTAATTACCTACTTTCAAATTAACCTTATCTTTTTATATTTACCCTATTAAATATCCTATAATAAATATAAAGTCATTATCAATAGGACATTTTTGAAAAATAAATAATGATTACACCTTAAAAGATTAAAAATGCCTTACATTTTTAACATCAAACTCTTCAAAAAATGCTTTCTATTTTTAAACAGAGGGAGTAGTTTTTTTTCTATCATATTTATAAAGCATGCCAATAATTTTTTTTATATTTTTCTTTTATGCTTAGTTAAATGTAGGTGAAAAAAAATACCTTGTTGAAATAGGAATAAAATTGATCCAAACCAAAATATGTCTTCATGGAATTCATGAGAAATTCCCTCATCAATATTGCTAACTTCTAATATTCTAATAAGCAACCTAGGGAACCACGAAAATCGAGAAGAGAGAGCTGGAAAGAGAGAGTTGCTTCGATGCCGACATCGAAGGAGAGGGATGCTCTTGACCGGAGAAGGAAGAAAGTATGTGCAGATGATGGTATATTCTCGAACAACCAGGCTCTTGTTCCTAGACACGAGCCTTAGATGATGGATGACGAGTTTTCTGAGATAAACACTAGTGAGGAGGGAAGGGAGACCGGTGATGAGGCTGGAAAGGAGACAAATAAAGGTAGGAAGTCGTACAAGCAGGCTTGTACCAATAGGAAGGATGAGATACCTGAAGAGGAGGACTGGTGGAGTAATGACAAGTGAAAATCTAGAATATCTGTTTAGATGACCCCGTGTGGTCTAAATGTGATCATACCTCTGCTAGAGAAACAACGATTGGTGAAAAAGTGGGAGGATTCCCTGATAGTTAACCTCCTTGGGTGAATGGTCTAAACTATATATATATAAACTACCTCAGATGCGGGGAAGAAAGGGTGAGGTATTTGTGCTTGACGTAGGTTCAAGGTTTTTGTGGTGCAATTGAAAATCGAGATGACTATGATCTTGCTTTAACTGGTGGGCCTTGGTTGCTCTTCGATCACTACCTCACTTTGCAACCATGGAAGGAGGATATCAAGCTTGATGAAGAGCAAATCATAAAGATTGCAGCATGGATTCAAATTTACAAGCTTCTGTTAGATTACTATGACAAGGGTATTTTGTACGTGTTAGGCTCTCAGATTAGTAGAGTTCTAAAAGTTGACATGACAACAATAAGGAGGAGGAAGGGGACATTCGCTCAAATCTGTGTAGAGCTTGACCTTAGCACAGCTATACGTCCGATTATTTTTATTAATAGTAAAGACAAGGAGATCCAATACGAAGGCATACACCTGATTTGCTTTAAATATGGCAAATACGGTCATGATATCGATCATTGTCACGAAAAAATACAAAAACTAGAAAACAATGGGATGCAAATGGAGAGGGCTGATCAATGTCGGGCAGTGGTCAAAAATAATGATGAGGCCAAGTAGCACCATGAAAAGGTTGATAATGATGATGAGGGGGAAAAGGAGGCAAATTTAGAGATCCATTATGATTCTTGGATGCTAGTGTAGAGACATAGGCATTTTTGATGCGGTGGTTGGTCAGAAGGGCAGTCGTCAGAATCAAAGCGGGCAATCAGGGGGGAAAATCAATTTGGAGCATTATGATCCAGATTCTCAGCCTTAGATAATAAATAGTTAGATTTAGAGGTGGGAAACCCGAAGATTATGGAGAAAAGGGCACCACTTAAAGAGATTACGGATATGGAAAATAATGAGACACCTGGATACAAGAAAGCTGAGAAAAAGATTAGGCTCATTCAAAGTCATAAAAATGGACCAAACTAAGGAAACGAACCAGACCAACATCCTGGGCCATGTAATAATGAAAAAGAAATCAGTTAGGATGGATATTATGAACCAAGCTAAGACTAGATTGGGCCTGGACAAGGTGGTTTATGATATTATCTAGAAAGAGTCAAGGGAAAATGAAAAGGATAAGGGGATGAGATGGTGGAGCGTATGGACTTAACTTCCGAGCAATATTTAGATGAAGGTGATGCTGATATTAAGTCAAATATTATGAGGATAGATGATGCTCCACTAGATCTAGGTTCAGGCCAACCACATAATTTCCTCATTCATTCTAATCTGTTGTCAAGGGACGTGATTGAAAAGGAGATGATTGACGTTCTAGGGTGCGATGAACGGCCCTTAGAGGTCTAAATATGCTCTTTATTTTCTTTATATTAGTGTATATGGATAGCTCATATAAATATAATATTCTTGTATGGGATGTACGTGGATCTGGAGGACGTGTTTTACTAGGTCTTTTGGCTGATTTACACAAGCGTTATAAGCTTGGGTTCTTGGCTTTGCTTGGAACTAGACAAGATAGTTCTAGGGCTCAAGCATTGGCTAGAAAATTTGGGCTTAGTAATTTTGATTGTGTGGAGGCCAACGGATACAGTGGAGGTATATGGTGCTTCTAGGGTGATAAAGTGAAGTTTAATGTTAAAGCAATATATGAACAAGTACTGCATGGGCATTTTAATTCTAATACCAGATATGAATGGGATCTCTCGATCGTTTATGGTAATCCAAGAAATGATAGAAGACGAGTATTGTGGCAGCATCTTAAATTAATTGAAGAACAAGGGGTACAAAAATGGTGCATAAGAGGAGACTTTAATGCAACCTTACGTGATGAAGAGAGGATTACATTGTCTCAAACGTCACCTAAACCTAATAGATGCTTTCAAGATTAGGTCTTAAAGTCTGGTGTTATTGATCTGGGCTATCAGGGACCAAGATTTATGTGGAGCAATGGAAGATCTTAGAGTAGAATTGATCATTTTCTAGTAAACGCTTATTGGTTTGAGAATTTTCTAGAGGCTAATGTTGTCTACCTGCCTAAATTCAATCTGATCATTATCCTCTCCTATTGAAGCTTCAAAGTACGATGGATAGTACGAGAAGGAAGAAGGGATTTCAGTTTTTTGCACCTTAGGTTACTCATGAGAATTTTAGTACTCTGGTTAAGGGATTGTGGTGCCATTTGAATGATTGGAGTGTAAATGTGGAGAGATTTGTTAACACCACCTCTAACTAGAATAAAAAGGTATTTGGCAATATAAATAAGCAGAAATTTGATCTGATTTGCCAACTAGAAGGGATTAATAGAAGGTTAATCAAAAATCTAAATTCAACATCTCTTGAAGATAAATGAATTGAAGTTTGGAGGAGATTGGAGGGTATCTTGGAGCAAGAGGAGATTATGTGGCTTTAACAGTCTAGATGTAATTGGTATAGTCATGGTGATAAAAATAGAAGAAATTTCCACAACATGACACAATGCTGGAAGAAGAGAAAACATATAAAAGCCTTCAAAGGTGATGATGGGGACTGGGTTTATGATGCTAGGACTCTACAACTGATGGTCACAGAATATTTCGCTAAACTTTATGTTGAAGGGTGACCCCCTTCAACAACAACAACAACAACAACAACAACAAGCCTTTATCCCACTAGGTGGGGTCGGCTACATGGATTGCAAGACGCCATTGTGTTCTATCATTTATTAAGCTTTTAGAAATATTATTAATTAAGAGATCACGTTCAACAACTTCCAAGAGTGTTCTCTTAGGCCTTCCTCTACCTCTCTTAATCGGACTCAAAGTTATATGTTCCACTCTTCTCACTGGTGCCTCCCTTGGTCTTCTTTGTACATGCCCAAACCATCTCAACCGATTTTCTACCATTTTTTCCTCAATAGGTGCCACCCTCACTTTTTCACGTATGTGCTCATTTTGAATTTTATCTTTACGTGTATGTCCGCACATCCATCGTAACATTCTCATCTCTGCTACTCCAACTTTATGCTCTTGCTGTCCCGTTAGAGCCCAGCATTCACTACTATATAACATTGCCGGTCTGATAGCAGTACGATAAAACTTTCCTTTAAGTTTATTAGGCACCTTACGGTCACAAATAACTCCTTTAGCTTTTCTCCAATTAAACCACCCAGCTTGAATTCTATGTGAAATATCTCCACTGATTTCGCCATCATTTTGAATAATGGCTCCCAAATATCTAAACTTTTCCACTTGAGGTATGATTTGATCTCCCAATTTCACTTCCAAATTATTTTCGAATAGTCCTTTACCAAATTTACAATATAAATATTCCGTCTTACTTCTACTCAGACGAAAACCTTTCGACTCCAATGTCCTCCTCCATAACTCAAGTTTGCAATTAACCTCTTCTCTTGTCTCTGCTATAAGAACTATATCATCCGCGAAGAGCATACATTTCGGGATTTCCTCTTGAATATGTTCCGTCAAAACATTTAAAATCAAGTTGAACAAATAAGGACTCAGAGATGATCCCTGATGTAGTCCAATCTTTATAGGAAAATCCTTTGTTTGACCACTAGGCGTTCTTATACTAGTTTTTACCCCCTCATACATATCTTGTATGGCTTTAATATAAGCAATCCGTACTCCCTTTTTTTCCAACGTTTTCCAAAGCACTTCTCTTGGTATACGGTCATAAGCTTTTTCCAAATCAATAAAGGAGGTTTAAAGGAGGTTTCCCGAAGGTTCAGAGCCACTCTCTTAAGTTAATGGGGTGTAAAGTGTCTGAAAAACAAATAAAGGATGCTATTTCCTCAATAGGACCTTTAAAAGCTCTTGGACCAGATGGTTTGAATCCTCTTTTCTTTCAGAACTAATGGGAAGTAGTTGGCAGCTCTGTCTTTAAGCTTGTGAACTAAATCTTTCAAGAACCGAGCTTGGTTAAAGACATTAATGATATGAATATCATCCTCATTCCTAAAGTTGATAGTCTAGAGACTATGAAGGATTTTCTACCAATAAGTCTTTGTAATGTGGTCTATAAGATTATTACAAAGATTCTTGCTACTAGATTAAAAAGCATCATACCTAGAGCGGTTGCACCAAATCAATGTAGTTTTGTACCTGGTATACATAGTATAGATAATATTATTGTTGCACAAGAGATCATTCATTCTTTTAAATGATCCAAGGGGAAGCAGGGTTACATGATTTTGAAAATTGACCCGGAAAAAGCCTATGATTGTGTTTGATGGGAGTTTGTTGTTGATTGTCTAAAGGAGTTAGACTTGCCTTCAAACTATGTACAGCTAGTTTCTCAATGCTTATCTACAGTGGTTATGCAGGTTATATGGAATAGTGAGATAGGGCCACAATTCACACCTTCTAGAGGAGTCAGACAAGGGGATCCTCTATCTCCTCTTTTCTTTGTTTTGGTAATGGAGAAGTTAGGCCATATGATTTAAAATGAGGTTGAAAATGAGACCTGGATGCCATTTAGATTGAAGAAGAATGGAGTTGCTATTTCCCACCTCTTCTTTATAGATGATCTCCTTCTTTTTGCCGAAGCTAGTTTGGAACATGCTGGTATGATCAAAGCTTGTCTTGATGATTTTTGTTATATTTCAGGCGAAAAAGTTAGTAGCACTAAGTCTAGAGTTTTCTTCTCTGAAAATGTCAAGAGTTCTCTGGCCAAGGAAATTAGCAACTTTCTTGAATTTACTCCTACTACTGATCTTGTTAAGTACTTAGGGGTCCCGTTACATCATAAGCGGGTCTCCAAAGATATTTATCGGTATGTTTTGAACAAGATGGACAAAAGGCTATCATCATGGAAAGAAAATACCTTGTCACTGGCAGCTAGATACATATTAGTTTCCTTTATTATTGCCACTTTTCCTAGCTATACTATGTAATCAAATTCACTACCTATCCATATGTGCAATGAAATTGATAAGAAGTGCTGTAGTTTTATCTGGGGTGAAATGGAATCCTAAAAGAAAATGCGTTTAGTTTCTTAGGAGGGTGTTTGTTGTCGGAAGGAGGATGGGGGCTTAGTCTCAAGCAGGCTCACTATCAAAACGAAGCCTTTATAATGAAACTAGGGTAGGGATTGATAAGTAAGAGGGAGAAGTATCGATGTGGTGATGATATTATCCCTAAAGTTGAGGCTTAAAGGAGTGGGTTAGATTTATAAGGGGGGAAGTATTAATGTAGTGATGATATTATCCCTAAGGTTGAGGCCTGAAGGAGTAAGTCAAATGCTTGGCGTGGTTTATGTAGTGTTTAGGAAGAAACTTCAAACGGTATTGCTTGAAGTATTGGAAAAGGAACGAAGGTGAAGTTTTGGAAGCATTGTTGGCTGCCTCACCATGAGGCTTTAATTACATATGCTCTGAAATAGGCTCCTGACATGCTTAGTGAAGAAACTGTGGACTAGTTCTTAACTACATCTGGCAATTAGAATAGGGCGAAGTTTGCTGAGTATCTTCCCACAAAAATACTTACCCAAATATATAAGTTCTCATGCAACAATGTAGAGGATTTACCAAGGTAGAAATGGTCTCATGATGGTGAATTCACCACTAAATTTGCTTATATGCAGTTGTGCTCGAGCCCTGCTTTTAATAACAAATACTTGTGAAGGAGAATTTGGAAGGCACCTATTCCTCAGAGAAACAAAACATTCTTATGGCTGTGTCTAAAGGGTAGGCTTATGACGAACTCTTTGCGTGCAGTTAGAGGAATTCAATGCAATGATTCTTGCCACCAATGTCCTGAGTGTTGAGAAGACATATTACACGTGCTACAAGATTGTGTCCTAGCATCTGCTTGTTGGGAAATTTTGGTTCCTAGGGACCTCAAATCAGATTTCTTAGCTTATACTAATAACATTGAATAGATCGATTGGAACTTATATAAGCATACAGAGGTAAAGGGCATCCTATGAGGTGTTTGATTTGTTTCATTATGTTAGCAACTATGGCTGTGGAGAAATATTAAAGTGTTCTAGGGTAAAGAGTCTGAAGCTCAGGGAGTCATTTCTCAAGTGCAAGCCATGACGATCCAGTCCAAATCTTATGTTGAAGAAACTATTACGGAACAGTGATCATTGGACTGTTCCAGATATTGGTGTGGTTAAGATTTAGACGGGGCTAGTGGGGAGGATGGTGCAACGACAGGGTATGGAGGAGTAGCTCGTGATCATGAAGGGAGATTCCTTGAAGGCTTCCTATTTCATATCGGCTATAGGAATAGTCTGCATGCAGAGTTGTGGGGAGTGCTTTGGAAGCTCAAGCAGGCTTGGGACTCAAGATGGAAGAACATTGAAATTGAATCAGATTTTTTGGAGGCGACTGAAGCTATTAATACAATTACTTGTCCACAGCACCCGGTTCAAAATATTATCCTTGAAATCCAAAATATGCTAAGATGGGATTGGTCGGTCTCAGTTCAATGGTATAAACGGGAGGCTAATGCTGTCGCGAATAAACTTGAAAAGGATGCCTTGGCTCGACGAGATGGTTTTGTTGCTTTTTCGAACCCCCCTCTCTATATTTCTCAGTTATTAGCTTTTGACATTAGGGTCTAGTACCTTTGTGTGTTATATTTTCATCGAAAAAAGAAATAGGAATAAAATTAATGTAATATATGTAAACTTATATTTTTTTATTAAAAAATAAATTATTTATCTATTGTATAAAAATCTGAATCGAATCGAGAGCAGGGATGATGACAAGGAGAACAAAACCCTACCAGCAAATTTCTAACACAATAGGATGCCTTGAAGCTGGAATCTCACAGCACTTTGGCACAACTTTATATAAGCTAGGCTACTATCTTACTTTGAAACTATTTCAACAACACTCTCACTCCAATTAAAGATAAAATAGATATTGTTATTAAAAAAAAAAGATAAAACATGTATTCTTCATCTTCCTTGTAATTAACTTCGATATGAAATTCAATTTTCAGATCAAATTTTGCCAATACGTTCATGAAATTAAAAGGAGAGAGTGACATTTTTAAAGTTTTAATTATGGAAAATTGTATTATATATATATATAACTAATTTTGTCTTTTTTGAATTATTCAACCATTCCCTACAATTCCCAGACATTAGTGGGTTCTTGTCCACTTATTCATTATACGTTCATAAAAAAGAGAGGACGTTTGATGTTCCTATAATCATATAATCACATCTTTCTCTTCTCACACATGTTTTTGTTTTATATTTTCACTAAAAATATCATCAATATATAGTAAATTTATACAAAATTTATAACAAGTTGCAGCATTTAGCAAACAAAAAAAAAATGTGGCTCATTATCCAAATAATGTATAAAAAATAAATCAAGGCTTATAACGATCTCAAAAAATAAACTGTGAGCTCATTTTTATATTTATGAATATTGAGACTTTTAATAAATTTCATCTTTATGTGAATTATATTGATAAAAAACACAATATATCTTTTTCAAAAAACGTTGCCAATATAAAATTGCAAATAGCACCACATTATTGAAGACGGTGCAATATTCTGCACATTCATCAACGTAATTAAGCTTTTTTTTTTTTTTGGTAAGAGGAAAACGACCCCGTGATTATTGGATCTGCAGATGTAAATAATGAACTATAATTTCTAAGATTCTTTTCAATTCATTCTCCAAATTCCAACATTACGATACCCCAAAAAACCAGTCCTGATGAAAACTAGATTTGATTCCCAAAATCTCAGATTATATTATACTCTATCAGGATTCTCAGAAACAACTAACAGATCGAACAAATTAAAAATGAAAACTTGAGAGGCGAATGACGATAGATGATCATTGAAGAAGTAAGTTACGTACCTGAGCAGGAAGTAACATTAGGAGCGGAAGAAGAAGACATTCCACAAACAGAAGGAAGGTTGAGAGCTTTCTTAACATCAATGGCGAAACCAGAAGCTCCAGGATGACTTAACAGCTCACACAAGCAAATGGGGTTACTTTCCACTAGTCCTGCTATCTCTGGGCAGCATCCTTTCTCTGGTTTTGTGAGGTTACTTTCAGATTTCACAAAGCTCAGGCAATCTGATGTGTTCACTAAGACTCTGAAACATTCTGTAATCGCCCCTGCCGGCACCGGAGCTATGCCCGGTGGTGTCGGAGGAGACGGAGGCTTTGCTGACGTGCTGTGATGTGTTGCTGTGATTATTAGAGTAGTAACAATGGCTGCCGTTCTGAGACTGGCCATACTGATAGCGATTTTTGAGTGTAATGTGCTTGGGAGAGTCTCTTTTTGTCTCTAGCTCGAGTGGGGATGCGAGGCTAAATGTATAGTTATTTGGGCTTTTTGAATCTGTGGAAAAGCTTTTGCTAAAAAAAAAAAAAACCTGTGGAGAAGCATTTAGTTTCGGTGCACGACCTAAGCATCATCTCCTCATCAAAACAACAAATGTCGGTAACTCACAAGGTCAGCTGATGAGATTAAATCCTACTATTAATATGAAAATTTTACTTAGTGGATAATCTACAAGCACTAATATAAATACTCTTTAAGTTTAGATGCATGTTCGGTACCTGGTAAGTTTTTAAAACCCTAAACTTTTATGTAAAAAAGAAAAAAAATCTAGAACTTGATTTCATATAATCCAATTATATATTTTGGTTATTATTTTATACATTCTTATTTGGCTTAGTTGGTTATATATATGTTCTTACGAATAGAAGATAACTCCATTGTATTTTATGCGCGCAACAATAAAAAAGATTTCAACTTTCTTATTTTCTTCTTTGAGGTTTCTCTCTTATCCCTTTAATCTCTGTTTTTTGATCATATCACGTTATAGACATAAATTCTACTTAGAGTTGAGAATAAAGGTCAGGCTTAAAAAACTGCCTTTTTAAGCCAATTTTTATAAGGGTTCAAGTTTGAAAAAATGAAATTTTTAAGGAAGCAGGGCTTTCAAGCCTGGTCTTGTACGCCCTGAAAAAACGCGCTCAAGCAGCTCTTTTAAACCTGTTTTTATTTTTCCCTTGAAAAGTAAAATACTTTTAATTTTTAAATCAAATTTAAACTTTAGAATATATGTTTATACTTGAAAATTAGAATTTTTATTATTTATTTTTAATTTTTAAACATTATAATTTATATTATTTTAAAAATTATGAAATATTATACTTAAAAATCTTAATTTTTAATTTTTTTAAATAATAATAAAGGCTTATGGGCCTAACCTTGAGCCCTTTATATAAAAGTCAAGTTTTAAAAAATGAGGTATTTTAAAAAATCGGGCTTAAGAGCCTGGGCCCTTAAGGGTCGGGCCCATAAGGGTTGAGCTCATATGGGTCGAGCTCGCTGTTTCCAACTCTAATTCTACTCTTGGAATTGCAAGGAGTGTGTGCCCTTTTATTTGTTCAATTTACCTTCAATTGTCTTATCATAGTTGTTAAATTGGACACTAATGCTCATGTTAATGAATATCTCCAATAGAGATGGCGTCATGCTCACTTGGATATTGAGCCAGTCTTTATCATTTATATACTCGATGGACCCTATGGCACGGGTGACATAGCATTAATGGCAACGAAGCTTGAGGATGGTAATCATGAGCATGGTGACATAGAAGGAACCCAATACTTCTAATCCAACGTACCTAAAGACCCATTACAACATATTGGAGGTCTAATAACAAGAGCCCGAACTAAAGCCATGAAGCAAGCCTTGTTTAGTCTTGTGCAAGAAGTTCAAGAGCTTGGAGAGCATTGGGGCACTCCTCTCAAACCTAAAGGAGAGCATCTATACGTGTATAATGTATTTAGGATCCAAACTTATGAAGAGTCAAGCCCAAGAGATGCAGACCTTAGCCCAATACAATGAAGACTATAAGTTGAGCCTCTTGCAAGCAAGGAGGCATGAAACCCTAGTAAAGAAGTCAAGGGTGGCGTGATTTTAAATCCTTTATGATCCCTTGATTGTCTCATAAATTATTTCCTATTTTAATGATCCTCTGATTTGATTTTCTATTTTGAGTCTAGTCAAATGGTAGAATTAATTATAGTATTAATTTCTAAATTTTGTAATCCCATAATTTTAGGATCACATCTCCTAAATTATGTGGCTGAATATTTTATCATTATTTTATATTATTTCTCCTTTTAGTATTAGGAAATTAGGGTTTTAATTTTAGAAAATATTTTTTCTATGAGCCTATATAAATTAGGCATGCTCCCTATTGTAAACAACACAGAAGTTGAATGAAATTATTCATTTTAGAATTTATAACTCTTGTGAGCCTTAGTGCTTTGTGGTGGTATCCCGTGTGAGAAACAGACGTGATCAAGAGCGTGATCAACTCTTGTGGTGTCTTCGAAGGTTGAGGTTCCTAGAGGCAGGTGCTCTAGAGGATCTTCTCCTTGATCATTATTCTATTGTTTACTTCATACCTTTCTTTATTTCCGTCATAAATTTCGTCCCTTTCTTTTTTGTTCTTGTATTTTTGTTGTTTCAGGGTTCTGTCCCTAAACTAGCACGATTCTGCTTCCGCGTCCCTATCAATACTCTTATTTAACACATTTATTTATTATTGATTTATCAAGTTGATTATCCATACAATTATTTTCTTCCTCTCTCTCAAAAAAAAAAATCAAATGATTAAATTTACTGTGTATCACATCCAAATCTAGAAGTATAAGGCAAAATTTCATTGGCTGTGTGTCCCCTGGAGAGAGTAAGATGCGAATGTGAGGCTAATAATTTGGGCCTTTTGGGAATTGTGGAAGATAGTTAAAGTTAAACGGAGGCGCTTAGATCGGCAACAAGAAACAGCAAGGAAAAAAGAAGGCAAAATAAATAAAGAACTCACTCTCCAAATTTTATAGTTTCTGCTGGGATTTAGAAACTTGGAAAAAGAAGATATTATATCCAATAATTATTTTCTTTTCTCTTGTTTTAAAAAAAGCTTGATTACAAGCATAATTTAAAGAAAAAAATAAACTAGAAAAATTAATTATTTAATTCCTATTCTTTTCACTTAATGTAATTCAATATCTAAAAATTGACCTAGTATAATTTAATCTGTATAGTTTTGATATGATTGGAACTAAAAATCTCTCAACTTTGTTTGGATGTAACTCAATTTCTGTAATTTTAACCATTTAAAATATTGGTAACATATTTTAGAAAATAAATTATAAAAAATTATTTCTTGAAACTTAAGGACTAATATTTTATATGGTTAAATTTATAAGGATTGAATTGCACTAGAGTCTTGAGATTGAGTTTCAACTAAGTTAAAACTATAAGATAGGAGTTATACATAGTTAAAGTTTAAAGACTGAATTATAATTGTGTCAAAAATATAGGAAACAAATGATTAATTTTTCCATAATAAACTTAAGATGATAATTTAGAAAATTAGGAAAAATGATTATGAAGTCAATTATTATTATTATTAGAATATATGGTCTTAAGAAAAAAGAAATATAGGGAAAATGCCACTGTTGATCCCTATACTTTTAACATGTTTTGTGTTAGTTTTTATACATTTTTTCTTCACTCTTATTTCTTTAAGTTTCATTGTAATATTCGTTTCTATATTTTTTTTTAATATTACCATAAAGACCTAGTGATGGCTAATGTGTATATAAACTTCATTATTTTTCGTGCCAACTTATTAAAATTATGATGAGTTATATAAAAAATGAGTAGAAGCTAGGAAACAAACAAGCAGGACATTAAGTATATATGATTCCTTAAACATGCAGTAGGTGAAGCTTTGAAATGAAAAAGACATGGCAGCTAAGGAAGAAAGGCAGAACTGTAGAAATGCTAGTAGGTAGTTTTTTTGCTCATATACTGTTTATGTCATCATAATTTTATTAATCCAGTAACAAAATTAATAGACTTACATGTATATAAATAGATTTAACTCCGTCAGTAATGCTAAAGACCAAGTTGCATGCAGTTAAAACTCAAGGAACTAAGAGAAATAAAAAAAAAATCAAAGGAACTAATACCAAAATATATTAAAAGTATGGGATCTAATTAATAGTTATATTTTCCCAAAAATATAAATAGATAATTAGATAATATGGTCTTAGGGATAGAACGAGAAGCTAGTTATTTATATAATTGTTCAATATCAGCCATGTGAGTGAAGAATTTATATATAGAATGAAATTAATCATTCGTTTAAATGAAGAGAAAAATAGAGAAAAGAATTAGAGAAAAAAGTCCAAAAATGGTAAAATTTTATTATTTTTTCAAAAATTCTCCCTTATTTTCTTCCCACTTCTCTCTTATCTAAACCAAGCAAATTTGAAAGAAAACTCATTTAGTTATAACTGGGGTAATGATAATTAGGTTGTAAAATACTGAATTAATACCAATAAAGTCCCTGACATTTTTTTTTTGAAAAAAGGTTAAAAATATCGATCCAAATTATTACAAATTCAAGAGTTAGTTTCAATTATAAATAAGCATTTAAATATTAAATATAATTTTTAAATTACAACAAAAATTTTTATTTATAACTATTTGAATTGATATTTATAATTCATTTTGTAAAATTTTTTTATCAAAAACTTAACTGATATTAATTCAGTATTTTGGGACCTAATTATCATTCTCCCATTATAATTTAGTCCCTAAAATTACTTTTAGTCCATACATTATTCTAAAAGAGTTTAAGAATTAATTTTACAGCCTTTCGAGTTATTCAAAGTTATCTAGAGTTCTTTAAAATTATTTTTTATATATCATTCCAATATAGACCTTGAGTCACTATTCAATAACTCTACAACTCTATCCAATTCCTAAGATCTCTGTCCAATTTTAAATCCATCTAATCTAGTTATTTTAACCAGAAAAAATTACTGGACACTTACTTAGTTTTAGAAAGTCTTAACCCACTCGTGAAAGATTTGTTATGACTTCTCTAAGATTTTCCCCCCTGCCTATGCTATTTCATATGGCACATACGTTTAATATTTTAGGCCTTGTTTGGTATGCAAACCTTAATTTAGAGGGATCAATATTGAAATTAGTAGTGAGAATGAGATTTTAAAATTATATTTGGTATGAGATAATACTTATAGAGAATAATTATTTTTATTTTATTTTACAATTAAATATACAGTATGAAAAGTCTATACTACCCTTAAAATTTTAAAAAAAAATTAGAATACCTTCTCCCGAGAACCATGGCAGCACCGGGCTCATCTTCTCCATACCTTCGCGACTGTGTGTCTTTTAAGAGAGGGTGATCGAGTTTGGACCTGTGAGAGAAGGAAATGAAAGTGATTGCGAGATCTAAATGATGATGGCTTCA